ATGGTTGCTATAAATCCACCCTCAAAAGTGTACTTATATATGAGAACAAGCTGCCAGACCACGTTAAGTAATTATGAATATAATATACCAGTTTCTTAAGATTTACTGATCATTTGGGAGAAAAGATAAATAAGACATACCGAATTGAGGGGTACGTGAGGAGGTCATTCGCAAGTCTGGAAATATCTAAGACTATATAATTATGCGACACGCGTAAGACCTCATCCAGGGCCGGATTAAGCCTTGCCAGGGCTGGGGACAATGAATATTTTCGGGCCGGATTCAACATGAATGCCACTCCGGAGTACAGGTTGTCCGAAGTTGAGTAAAGAATTTCTCGTCTCTCTGGCCTATTTAAAATTCACCCTCACAGACATACACTGTCACAGCAGCATCACACACCCTCACAGACATACACTGTCACAGCAGCATCACACACCCTCACAGACATACACTGTCACAGCAGCATCACACACCCTCACAGACATACACTGTCACAGCAGCATCACACACCCTCACAGACATACACTGTCACAGCAGCATCACACACCAATACAGGCATACACCGTCATAGCAGCATCACACACCATCACAGGCATTCACCGTCACAGCAGCATCACATACCATCACAGGCATTCACCGTCACAGCAGCATCACACACCATCACAGGCATTCACCGTCACAGCAGCATCACACACCATCACAGGCATGCACCGTCACAGCAGCATCACACACATTCACAGACATACACCGTCACAGCAGCCTCACACACCCTCACACTGTATCCAGACTGTTATTTTCATTTGTAAAAAGAGGAGGTGAAAAAAATATATATTATCCACTCGATATTTTGGGGCCGGTCAAGATCTGAGGCCTGGGACAAATGCCTCATTTGCTCCCGCTGTAATTCGCACCTGACCTCATCTGGAATACACGAACCAAGTTTGGGCATCATTTTTTTATCAAAGAAGTCGCGGTTCAAGACGTCTAGTGAAGGGCGAGCTTCTTCCCTCCTTGAGGAACTTGAGCTATAAAGAGAGACTAAAGAAACTAAACTTACTGCATCTTTACTTTTTATAGACAGGTAAGATCAAGTTAGCTTAGGGTATAATGAAGAAACACATAAAAGCTATCACTATTTCACTATTATCCCTGAATATAATCAGAAAGAGCGATGTAATGAAATAGATTAAAGGATTCATCATTAATATTAGCTTAAAAATTCTGGGTTGCTGTCAAGAAACATGTCTTAGACACCAAGAGAAAGAAGTGTAGTGTCATGTGAGGACTGTGTGAGAGGGACTAAGGGCGGAGGTGGTAAACAACTCACCTTGATCTCGGTAATCAGTTGACTGGTGATTGGGACGCCTGTGGCGGCATGCTCCAGGTTGGGACGAGTCTCGCCTCTCCTCTCCTGCCACCACAACCAATACCATTAGTTAATACACGAAGAACACACACACACACACACACACACACACACACACACACACACAGGCACAGGCACACATTACATATATAGCATAGTCTACCTGTGTTTGTGTGTTTGATTGTTTGTACTGTATGTTCACGATCTCTGGCTGTAGGTTTGAAGATAGCTGAAATTTGGCAAGGAAATGGTCATATCCCCAGAAGTGACCTGAAAGTTAAATTTTTGAGTTGATAGTGTAGTTACTGTTGTGTAGATGATAGCTACCACTCAAATACCAAACATAGGCAACCCCGGCTTCCTCAGATAGTACACGTCTAAATAAACAAAAGCACATAATCTATAAACATATTCATACACAAACATATACATTAATATGCAAGAATACATATTAGCACATACATGCGTAAACACAAACAAAAGCATGTATATGTGTACAATGAAAGACAAAAGTCGTGTCGCGGTTATGTCCGAAGATAAAATATAACTCTTAAAACATTATGAGATCCTTACCACAAGGCAGAGCGCACCAAAAGTTTTAGCTTTTCGGCATATGTTTTCACCAAATTTCACGACACGACTTTTGTCTTCCTGTAGTACGCACAAAGACACACAGGTAATCAGATATAGTATGGTCATTTACACACATCCTTCAAGCACGAATAGCCATATAAATTTCAGTTTTATTACATGCTTTGATAAACAATGTTTGCATATTTATATCCACTAGAATAAATAAAATTATTAGAACTTAAATTCTTTGGTAAATATCAATGACTAATTGCAGCAATTAATTTCATATAAAGCAAACCACTCCTTCCTGCAAAAAATATGGCCGTCATAACTGATATAATGTTTCAGCAAGTAACGTCTTTAAGTGTGTACTCTGACATACACCAAACTTTACTATTGATCAGTATGGTATGAGGAATTAATTATCAATCTAAACAAGAGACATCAGTCACATAATTTTAAAGTTATATATATTTTTTCGGACAGGATAATTTTGCATTTATTCTTGAAACGGAATTTATATTATTGTTTTTTTGTAGAATACAATAAGAAATCACATGTTTATATTTGCATGTGCAAAGTTTTTTAATTTTCTATTTTAAGCAGACTAAAGACTGAGTATACTGTACCTCCGGGTCAGTCAACAGGTGGTCCACCTGGTAGTGCCAAGACCTGTACTGGTGAGGCTCGTAGTCAAGGCCCAACTCTGCTCTCAAGGTCCTCACTGCTCGCAGCTCCAGCGTCTGAAGCACACAACACCTGTTAGTCTAATTTGTCTTGTGTTACACACACACACACACACACACACACACACATATATATATATATATATATATATATATATATATATATATATATATATATATATATATATATATATATATATATATATATATATATATATATAAGAGAAAGAGGCAGAACACAATACCTGGTTGGTGAAGGTAACAATATGTTCTTCCAGTTGTTCGCTGGTGAACACAGAGATGGTGCCCTCGACCACAGCTCGCTCTATCCTGGCGGAACCTTCGGATCCACGAAGCAGATAGTTCCCGATGGACGTTCGAATGATGTTTTCGTCTGTCTTCTTATTGCCGTGCATCTAGATAAAAAATATCAGTGATTATAAATAATATAATCAGTTTAAAATAATTGTCGGGTTTTAAGAATAAACACAATTGCTTAGTTCGACTTATTATTAATGAATGCCTTGCACTTTAAAGCCACTCTCTGTATTAATTAGTCTCAAAGGAGGATTAGTACTAAAGCATCTACACCCAATATCAACTTTCTTTCTCCTTTTTGAAGGAATTATTTACTAGGGCGCTGGGTGCCGGTGTTAAATGTCAGATTATACCCTCTGATCATTTTAACCCTGGGTGTGAACTGGTCTAGGCTAGGTACCACTCCAGGGGTTAATCTGGCCTAGGCTATTTTGCACTCCCCTGGGCCAAAATAAACTCCTATACTGTACTTCAAGGAATTTGAATTACATGTTGAGTTATGAAGTCGGCTAATGAGATGTCGATTTAGTGAACTGATGTTGACATGGATTCAAAACACATGTTGGGGCTTAGTTTAGTTTTACATTTAGTATAGTCTTATGTGCGTCTATTACGATGATGCCATTAACAGACTTTCAATTTCTCACAGCCCATCAAACTTCTGCAGCAGTGTTCGATACAATACCTTGTGGCGTTTATCGATTTATACTTTTATGTTCAACAATCGAATATTACAACTATAAGGGTTGGTGATAAATGGCAGTTTTTGAATAAGAGAGCTGCGATGATATCATCCAGTGATTTCGAATTGAAGCATTGATCGTGAAGTGATCTTTTTCGAAGTAATTGTGACCAAATTTTATCATCCTTCTTAGGTCTCCATATGTATCTGCAGTTGTACTACTGTAGTTTAGCAGCTTTATCAATCGTGATTTTTTTTTGTGTGTGTCATACAGAATCTAAGGCACAAAAACTGCATAGAATTATTACATTTTGCCAAAATAATGTGCAAATTCGGAAAGGGTGCGAACAGCAAAAAGAATCACTCACTGGTCTACAGTACAGTATATGAAGTAACGGTAACTGCAGTTGTAATCAGCTGTTGTGTGGTACGGTTCAGCTGACTCAGGGATGTATTTTGGCATGGGGGAGGTTATTCCAGCCTAGGCCTAAGTAACCCCCTGGGTGGTATCTGGCCTCGGCCAAAATAAACCCTTGGTTAAATTGGGCTGGCCCATTTTAATCCCCAGGTCTAATTTGGCGGGGGTTTATTCTGGCCTGCTACACCAGTACTACTAGGATCATAAACTTCCCTCCCCCTTACTCATTATGTCTGACTGCCTTGCCAAGAGTGTACAGTATATGTGTGATATGCCAAGACAGTTGTTGTGATCTGCTAATTGTCTGTGTCGAACGAATTGTGATGCTCAATGTGGTATAATAAATTCTCTTGCTTGTTGATTCTTTTGCCCCTTTGCTGATAGTTTTATTTATATAATAGTTTAGCTATTAAAATTTATCATTTTCGTAATACTTATATCAGAAGTCCACAAGTCAATAAGTGTGTTTGAATGGTATGGGTAGCAGGAATAGTAGTGTTACCCTAAATGATATAACTATTTTCATTACATTTACTCTTATATCTTCCTTTGTCATTATGGTTCTTATTTTTTGTATTATAATCTTTGTCTTTAATTCATATACAATCTTATGGTAACTCATAGTCACGTAAGCTTACCTTCCATTTCACTAGGTTTTCACAGGATTCGAACTCGAGTACACGCGTGAGGGACCAGAGAGTGTCTTCAATGGTAAAGGCGCTTGAGGTCTGCGACGACGTCTTCGACTTGCTGCTTGTAGGTGACTTCTTTGTTGAACTTTTCTTTCCGCCTCTTCCTGTGGTCTTCTTAGAGAACTTCGATTTAGAACTGACATCAGAGACAAAAAAAAATAGTTATGTTGATATTCACTCATTATTAGGTTGGAATATCTTGTAATTGCTATTTGTTCTGTCTGTGATTCAAATGAATAGTGCAAATAGCATTCACTTGTGTGTGTGTGTGTGTGTGTGTGTGTGTGTGTGTGTGTATATGTATATTGTGAAATCGAGATAATTGTGAAAAATATTAAATATGACTATTTTCAAAGGAACTTTCAACATAAAACCCGTATTTGTTATATCACTTGACGAATCTTCCATGTAGTCTTTACCAATTAACGTAAATTAAAGTACAACTATTCTACACACTTCGTCTTCAAGTCCTGACACACTTCCACACACTTTAAATCACATCTGTACTCCTCGTCTAGCAAAACTGACATTATAATAAATTATTCACATCAGATAATTCCATTAGAGTTATCATAGATTCTACTATTCTTGGTTCTTCCATCTTATATATTCCACAGTCACGTAGATCATTTGCCCAACAAACCCACCTGGGAACCACACCTGAGATCAGCACTCACCTTGAGGAGGATTCTTGTCTCTGTGTGTCTATTTCAACCACTGCCTCCCGCCGCTGGTTCTCCAGGACTGTCTGCTCCTTCGGTAGCTGGAAGAGGGAGTACCTGCAAGGGTATAGAAGGCGGGTGTTAGTAAACTCTGCTTCTCTCGTTCTCTCTCTCTCTCTCTCTCTCTCTTATTCCCATTTTTCTCTCTTTCTTATTAAACATTTTTGTTTCTTTCTTAATATCACACTAGCTCATTCTGTTACTCACTGATTGTTACAGTAGCCAGCCATCACAGTCTCGTTGAGCGTAAAGGTCGTCTTTTTGAATGTTGGTTCTCTTCTAGGGTCGCCGTAGTTACCCTGGAGGATCAATAATACTTATAGTGATACGTTATCATGTTTTCCTATATCAGATGTGTATAGATATCATATGTGTGTTTATATCACGTATATGTTGACATCATGTGCCGTGGTATTATATTTACCTTGGTATCATGTGTCTTTATATCAATGGTACAATATGACTTAATAATATCACATGTGTTTTATGTGATAATATGTTTGTAAATTTCTCTGTCCACGTAACTGATTCTATTCTAAAAATTCCTTTAATTTAAATACTAGTAGACAATAAAGCCAGACAACAATATAATAAATCCAATTAATACACTTAACTGATACATACCAGTATTGGCGGTATTCTGAAGATGTTGACGACAGACTTTCTGATGTTGGTGATCCAGACTGGTTCCTGAGGCGCCTTCAGGTACTCCTTGCCCTGAATAGAGGTTACCAAAGTTCAACTGAAACCATTTTAAAATATTACCTAACACTACAGACACACACACACACACACTGCTTGTGTATTCTTTTGATCTGGCCGAATGTCTCTCTGCAGGGTTTGGTCATGACGGTGTCGAGACTACCCCATTCGGCACTGGGATTTGGGTTATTTGTTGTCGGGTTGTTTATCATCCTAGTGTATGCTCGAAATGTTCTCTGAAAACATGTGCTACTGCTGGATCCTTCAGATGCTTAGTATTAAAACCACTTCTAGAGGCTTGTTGCCTTCGCCGTTTTGGGGCGATGAGAAGTGAGAGTTTGACTCTGGAGAGCAGATAATCAGTGTCGTAGTGGTCTGAGCCACGCATGGCTCGGGTGATGAGGACATCTCGGCGATCTCTTTCTCTGACAATGATGGAGTCAATGAGTGGCCAATGTTTGGATCGTGGGTGTTGCCACGAACCCTTGAACTTGTCGACCTGCCTTAAAAAGGTATTGGTGATAGTGAGGTTGTGGGCAGCACACTTGCTGAGGAGGAGTAGGCCAATTTCCCCTATGATTCCCTGTCAGATGTGAGCATCTCTGTCAACTCTGGCACTGAAGTCACCAAGGAGCACAACCTTATCTTCTCTGGCGATTTAGGTCAGCACTCTGCATCCAGTGTTGGGGGTGTATGCACTGATGAAAAGGACTTGACGTGAGTGATTCAGCGGGACTCTGAGCGTCATGAGGCGCTCGTTGATCCCAACAGGCATTTCAGTTAGCCTATGTAGTATGCACTGGTGGATGGCAAAGCCAACTCCATAAATGCTGGTTTCTCTCCGCAGCAGAAGAAGGTATAGCCAAACCCCTGGTTTGTGAGTCGAGCATCGTCTAGGAGCTGAGATTTACTAATGGCTGCTATGTCAATATTCTACCTAGCACACACACACACACACACACTCTCTCTCTCTCTCTCTCTCTCTCTCTCTCTCTCCACTTACCTCTCCCCCATCGATGCAGAATTCGAAGGGCTTTTCGAGTAGGTCATTGCCTTGCTCCAGCGGGTGGTACTGGATGGGTAGCGGTGACCGAGTGTCGCACTCTAGTTCATCGTGAAATTCTCCCACTTGGATGTTGCTGAACTGTCAGGTTAAAGTTAAAATATAAGTGGCTGAAGTGTCAAAAGGTCAAATATAAGTTCTCGTTTAACAGTTTTATTTTTCAACTTAGATTTTGCTAAAATGGCAGTTTAGAAATATATATCAGATTATGTACATGGTAGTAGGGTATAAGTCTGAGCATCTTATGCAGTAAATACCAAGTGCTTGTTTATTTTTGCAATATTATATATTTTTCGGGGGATTGAATACTGCATTCGTACATCCATATAGCATAGTAAACCTCCACCACGGTTGAGCCAATGACCACACCTCTCTCTCCTTCATCATCAACTTACCTGGAAGAAGGTCTCATGCTCACTGGACACCTGTACAGTGACATCAATCTGAATTCCTGCTCCTGAATACTGGTCTTTGAGGTCAGGGATCCCAGATGCTACCCTGCCACTGTACCGGTACTGGTACTCCAGACCTGGCTCCAGGCTCCAGCACGAACCTGTGGGCAATACATCTTATGAAAGCGCACGATAATTGTGTTTGCATTAAAGAACAGGAACTTCAAGTTAAGGACTGCACACCCAAACGTCACATCATACAAAGCTTAAAAGAAAATTCACGGAGCCAGATTCATCCCTTCCCTCAACATTAAACACTACTTGATTTTAAGATATTGGTAAATGATAGTTTAGTAACTTATCTGCTGAACGCCAGCTGAGGTTGGGAGATGCACTGTGATTCGTTTTTGCAAAAGTACGAAATTTTCCTCTCCTATATGAAGAAAAAATCCCACGAAACCTGAATAACTAGACGTCCACCTTTACTGTACGGGGATAATACAAGATGAAATTTTAAATGATATTATCTTCTGGCCCATGGTACAAATCTGGCAATTCCAACCTAAAAAAAATAAACCTCTAGTTAAAAACTAACAAAACACATTTTTAGACAAAAATCAAAATTATATGAACTATTTAAGGTTGCCTTTCATTTACTTTGACCACATTGTGAGATGAATGTTCTCGGTGTTTTCTTACCGCGATTTCGTTACTCAGTCTCACGAGAAAACCTTAACCATGAAATGGACTATCACTCTGTGGCTTATGGCTAGTTTAATAATGACTAATTAAAAAACTATTAGGTAAGTAAAAATTGATATTTGTATGTTAATGTTTCATACCTTGATTATAATATCTAAAATAAGTCTCATAATTTTCAAATTGCATGACCTTGTTCTCGATCTCTGGCACATCCCTCACCACCAGCATTAAGAAAATAAGAATGAAGGAAACTGCCGCGGGCCTATTGGCCCTTACTGGGCAGTCCCATTTACACCCAACCCCTATTGCTCATGTATCCATCCAACCTATGTTTGAAGCTATCCAGCGTATTCGAGTTAATGATGATATTTGGTAACTTGTTCCACTCATCCACTACTCTATTTCCGAACCAATATTTACCCATTTCGCGCCTAAATCTAAATTTGTCTAATTTAAAACCATTGTTACGAGTTCGCTCCTGGTTGGATAGTTTGAGTACCTTTGTAATGTCCCTTTTGTTCAGCCCTGACTTCCATTTACACACCTCTATCATATCGCCCCTCGCTCTACGTCTCTCGAGGGAGTGCAAATTAATATGTTTTAACCTGTCTCTGTACTGAAGGTTCCTAATGCCCGGGATTAGTCTTGTCATTCTCCTCTGAATTCTTTCTAGGGATTCTATATCTATTCTGTAATACGGTGACCAGAATTGAACTGTGTAATAGCGTAATCCAAGTGAGGTCTCACAAGCACAAGATATAGTTTTAGGATGACCTCGCTAGTCTTGTAACACACTCCTTTGTATAAACCCAAGTGCTTCATTAGCCTTGTTTCGAGCAAATACACATTATTTACATGGCTTAAAATTCCTACTTATCATTACTCCTAAATCTTTCTCGCAGTCGGATTTCTCAATAACATCGCTGTTCATTTGGTATCTGGTTTCCCTGTTTACGCCTCCTATACTGAGTACTTTACATTTGTCCACATTGAATTTCATCTGCCATTTTTCAGACCATTCGAAATTTTTTTCTAGATCTTCCTGTAGTTTTGCGGAGTCCTCGTCAGATTTAATTACACGCCCTATTTTAGTGTCCACCATATTTACTTATGTTGCTGTCTACGCCGATATCTATGTCGTTTATGTGTATAATAAATAACAATGGTCCGAGTACTGAGCCTTGGGGAACTCCACTAGTGACGTTGCTCCAATGGGATTTAGTGCCGTTAATGCTCACTCGCTGTTTCCTGTCCTGTAACCACGCCCTAATCCATTTTCGAATATCTCCTTTAATGCCATGAGCCTCCACTTTTCTTATTAGTCTTTCGTGAGGGACTCTGTCGAAGGCTTTGCTAAAGTCGAGATATACCACATCATAATTGTGCCCCTCGTCCACTAATTCGAAAACAGATGAAAAGAATGTTAATAGATTAGTTAGACATGAACGCCCGCTTGTGAAGCCATGTTGGGAATCACTGATCAACTTGTGCTGCACCATGTGATTTCGTTGAAATGATTGCTTCCAGTAATTTGCCTACAATTGACGTTTGACTGATTGGTTGGTAGTTAGAGGATAGTGATCTATCCCCCTTCTTGAAAATTGGTATTACATTCCAGGATTCTGGTACTACACCCGTTTTTAAGGACATGTTAAACAGCTTTACCAAGAGCATACTAAGCTTTTCCTTACATTCCTTTAATACTCTGGCAAATATCTCATCGGGACCTGGTGACTTATTAGGCTTTAGTTATCTATTTGCTTACTAACATCGTTACTAGTCACTACTATCTCGCTTAATTTATTTCTTCACTATTTCTGTATAGAGTCGGTGCCTCGGGTATCATGTTTAAATTTTCGGAGGTGAAAACTGTTGAAAAATATTCATTCAGATTATTGCCCATTTCTCCGTCGTTATCAGTTGGGGACAGCCGGGTGAGGTTCTTAGAAAGGACTTTTTGTGCAAGAGATAAGAAACGTAGGACTAGGGTGTGTTTTCCTGGGGCTGGGATAGGGCATGTAGCTGAGAGGATAGATAGGGTTTTGTCAGTGGAGGGTACCAAGCCAGTAGTGTGTCTTAGTGTGGGAGGTAACGACATAGGAAAGGTTAGGAGTGAGGAACTTTTCAAGAGTTATAGGGAGGCGCTGGGGAAGGTTAGAGATAGGGGAGGGATCCCGATAGTATGTGGTGTCCTGCCTGGAAGAGGAGTTGGTGGTGAATGGCTGTCCAGGAATTGCTATAAATTGCCGACTGGAAAAACATTGTGCAAGCATTGATTGGGCGTTCATTGATAACTGGCAACCATTCTGTGGCAACATACCTGTACAAAAACCCTCTCCCTCAAAGAATGGGACCAGGAAATGCACAATACCTGCAAAAGCCCTCCACGCAAATTGCAGAAGACCTTTATAAGCCAAAAAGGAAAAAGAAAGAGAGCAATAATAACCCAACTCTGCCAACCACTAACAAAACCTACAATCCTCCCAAAACAAAAACTTAACCCACCCAACCATACTTACAATCCCTCCCCCCCCAAAAAATAATAAAATAAGAAAAAATATTAACTCAACTTATCCAACCACTAATCAACTCCTACAATCCTTCCAAAACAAAAACTTAATATTCCCGACCTTTCTAACAGCCCCCTTCCACCCCCCTTTAAAAAAAAAAATGTACATTTAATTCAATACAACTATTCATTAACCACACAAATCATATCACCCCTAAGAAATCCTACTAAACTATAAATCAACCTAACTACCTCCAAAGCCCCTCCCTCTCCCCCCCCAAAAGAAAACATACCCCAAATCCTCCCAATAACTCACCATACCTGACCTTACTAACAATTATCCTCCCCTTCCCCCTCACCCCTTACTATATTGACACACACACACACACACACACACACACACACACGCACACACACATACACTCACACAACAACCCCTGTTTATCCGGACCAGTGCATAAATCAATATACCACCTCCACCCCCAACCAATCCCCAATACAAACTTCTAAGCAAACTAATCTTCAAACACAACCCCCGACAAAGCCTTACATAATACTACAACTCTCCAGAACCAAATCAAACATACCCAACCTCTGTGACAGCCAATCTCAATAAAATCGACCTAACTCAAGACTGAAACCAACCAACCTATATCTCATTCTCATCTCCGTTCATAATTTGACAAAAATGCTCAAATCTGTCTCCTGCTATTACTAAAAACTCTCCTACGATACGCTCATCCTTCCTTACTACGAATACTTTGACATTTCAAGCTCAAAGCTTCAAAAACTCTTCCTCCAACTCGCTCCTTTCCTCTTTGACATAGCTAAAAGACTTTACCTTCATCTTTCTCCAAACAACCCTACGACTAGCTACATTTCCATTTTCACCTTCCCTGTTACTTTGACCGTGTGTGCTTGTACGTCCCTCCACCTGCGCCGCCGCCGTGGCGGGGCGGTTCTTCCTCCGCTTTGCCAACACTGCCTCAGCTAAGACGACAACCAGAGCACCCACGTTGGCCTTTTGCCTGCCCGGTCCTGCTCCCGTCCTCCCTCTGCCTCGTCCTGATTATGATTGTTACACCATCCAGGCACATTGCCTACCCCCTCACGCAAGCGGTGTTTAGCCACTGCACCTATTCTCTCCTTCTAAAATTCACTTCTATCCTCCCTTTATCCTTCCCCTGAACCTCTTTCCCCCCTGTCACTAGCTTTTATGTATGTATGTATGAGATTCATTCTGGCCTACGTTCCTGAACACGCAACACCTCCTCCAAGCAAGTTCCTCGCTGTCCAGCCCTCATTCAACCTAGAGGGCAGCAACACACAACATCTCCTCTAACTAAGCTCCTGCACAGCTACATCCTTGACCACCGAAGGGTCAAGACGTACCTGGCGCTCCTCTCGGAGCAGCCAGGTCAACTGTTAAGTTGGCCCATACCAACCCCCTCCCCTGAACCCTCCTCCCCACCGGAATATCAACAAGTTCTCGCCAGAAGTTACAATTTCATTTAGGAAAGGAACGGAACTAGTGTTAAACAGAGGTGAACAGTGGTGAACAGTGCTTAAGTCAGTGAGAACAACTCAACAGTAACAGTCGTACCCAAGTTAACCTTCACACAGTGAGGTCCCAGGTACCCAGTGATAACGGCCCGCGAGACCCAACAACAACCGCCGATGTGTTAATCCGTCTACGATAGGAAGGCCTGGGACCACACCATCTGTGAGGGAATTACTACACCACATGTCCCTCATAACACCATATGTGAGGGAATTACTACACCACGTCAGGCCCCTCATAACACCATCTGTGAGGGAACTACTACACCACATGATGCCCCTCATAACACCATCTGTGAGGTAATTACTACACCACGTGAGGTCCCTCATAACACCATCTGTGAGGTAATTACTACACCACGTGAGGCCCCTCATAACACCATCTGCGAGGGAATTACTACACCACGCCAGGTCCATCATAACACCATCTGAGGGAACTACTACACCACGTGAGTTCCTCCTAACACCATCTGGGAGGGAGTTACTACACTACGAGTTTGCTGTTCAACACCTACATTAATCTGTATGTTCACTGTATGTTCCTTTACCTTTCTCTAATGAAGGCTTTTGTTAAACCACCAATGTATGTAATAAGTCATTTATGTCCAATGTATATTTTCAGCCTTCGGGCTGCAGAATTTTTTCAATAAACCGTAAATTATTATTATTATTATTATTAAGCACGCTACTCACCGAACGTGTCTACTGAGCAGCTCCTCACCACAAGGCATCTCTTGCACCAGACTGTCTTTCATATAATATATTTTATATAAGAAAACCACCCCTATAAGGTTACAATTGTTAAGGTTAGGTTGTTTGGTTTCTCTTCGCTCATGGTGGGGTAAGTAAACACGTACTTGAATATAAAAGGGTAGACAAAGGATGCGAGTTTTTGTTGTGTATAATAAAGTACCATAAATTCCTTAACAAAATATTCAGCTTTCTATAATTTACCCTTAACCATACTTAACGTAAACATTAACAGTATATACATATTTATACAACATGCAATAATTTGAAGCAAGGTGGACGTGGGGAGGCAATATAAGATTACAAATACTTAAGTGCGGAGCTGAGATGGCTGACGAGTAAGGCTGAGTATTGTAGAAGACGGTATGTAGTCACTGTGCCGTAGGTTTCCAGGATAGGTGGTCCTGTGGTCACTTCCCAGAGTGAACTGAACTCTCCTCGAACTGGAGCTGACAAAGAAGACTTTGAGGAGGTGACGCAACAACCAGATATGGAGAAGGGAAACCTGGAGTGGTAACTAAGACGAAGTCATACTGTGTTTCGTCCTAGATGGCGCTGCTCGTGGTGCTGGTAGGTAGATCAGGACACAGATGGCGTGGTTCGTA